GGCATGGAAATTCTGTATGTCCCACAACCTTACCGTAATGCTGTTGGTCTCCAGACTCACTTTAAAGAGCAGAGATGATAACAGAAAGGACAGATGCACACACCTGCAAACCACTGCTTGGGGAGCTGAGGCAGGAGGATCTCAAATTCTAGGCCAGTATGGGCAACTTAGCAGTTCCTATCTCAAAATAAAAAGGGCGGCAGTATGGCTACACCGGTCAGCCCTGTGTTTAATGTCCAGCCGGGGTAGGGCTGGGGTCAGACTCTGAGACTGACTCTTTATTGGCCACTGCAGAAGTAGAAAAACAAGACTATTTAAGGTCACACAGTAGGACCAGGGAGAGCCAGAACTCTTCTCTGAAGGGTTGCCTGCCAGAACCCCACCAATTCCCTGCTCCCCTGAGGGCTCTAGCCCACTTGCCCGTGGCTCTTCCAACTTAAATCGATCTTTCTTAGCTCATGTCTGCACACACCCACAGCTGGCTCTTTTCTGATTTCAAACAACGCCCACCATGGTTAACCAGGGTCCTGGCTCATTGATTTAGAGGCAGGGCAAGCCTTAGCCAGAATACTTTCCTCACCACTGTCAAGAATCCAAATGGCCTGGGAGGAGAGACTTCCCAGGTAAACATGTGAACACAGCTATTGGCCCCAAAACTTCCAGAGGTCAGCAGTGAGGGGACCTTAGCAAAAACTGATTTTAGAAAATTCTAGAATTGGGTGTTACAGAGTGGGCAAGAGGAAATGGGAAAGAAAGGGAGGGATGGGAATGCTTCATGATGGACACTGCTGGGTCAGGATTAGTGAGAAGGAAGGAGATGCAGCCAATTAGAGGATTTGCTTTTCTCTGAATTCAGGGACCAGGAGAGAAAACACTTCTGGCCCAGAGGACACAGGTGCTCTAGACATACCCAGCAGTGTGGTGCCAGCTCTTGCAATTGCCTTGTTCAAGACCTCAGTCCTCAGCAGGCTCACTGTGATGGGATGACTAGGAAAGTCTTCAGGGCTTGCCTTGCACATGTGTGTTGGGGTGGGCTGTTCAATGAGTCATGCCTGTGAGATTCCAACAGTGCTCCAAAACCGTGCTCGGCATGAGTACATACTCAATGAACTCGAACCCCTGGCTTCTGCAGCTACTCTACCTCTAGTCTGAATTTCCCTTCTATTTTTATAAACGCACTGTATAAGTGTGTGTTCCCCTTAGTCCAGTTCTCTCTGGAATGTGGAGATAGAAACTGAGGCATCCTTGTTGCTTCCTCTGTTGATAGATTGACAGTCTGTCTTCAGAGTATCAGGGGTGGCTGGGCTTAGCCTATTAGGGAGTAAGGGACTTCAATTTTCTGCAGGGCCCACTGGGAAAGCCATGTTGGGTACCTAGGAAACCAGGCTTGACTCTCAGATAGATGTACTCATTTGGACACTAAAAGTGGGACATGAAAAATCTCAAGCCATCTTCAGGAGGGCCATGCTGGTGGTGTGGCTCAGTGGTAGGACACTTGCCTAGCATGTGCAGGGCCCTGGGTTCCAGTCCCAGAACTACAAACAAGAAAGGGCAGAGGACGGGGAGCAGGGTGGACAACAAAGAAAACCCTTGCAAGGTCCACTCAAGTACCCTGAGGGAGGCCTTTGGAAAGCCAGAGTAAGCTGTGATGGAGGCCAAACCAAGTCACCACCATGGAACTAACACCACAGGCAAATGACCTGCCCTGTCACACAGGGCTACAAGTTCACAGAGGTCTCTCTATCCTTTCTCAATAGAGCTGAACTTTCCTTTTGTACTGGGCCCCATGAATCTAAATCCAATACCTGGGCCCTGCACTGTAGGACATCTCTCTTGCTCCCCAAGTGAGGCAGCACACATGTCCACCCCTCCTGAAATGAGCACACGGATAACCAGGGTGGGGAGCAGCACTCTTAGATCATGGAGTTTCAACCTGGGGACTGTCACTGTGTAAGAGCTGCCCATTACATCACTCTCCTGAAAGAGGGGCTCAGGCTCCAGGAGAGAGGAGCTGACAAAGCCTCTGGGGTGGCAAGTAGCAAGTGCCATTAGCCAGCCGGAACTGGGGACAACACCCACGGACCTAGGCCACAAAGCCAGTTCTGTGAGTCCAATGATCAGTATCAGAACAACTGCTTAACGGGAGCAAAGCAAACACAGTAATCATTTAAGGCCCACAGTCCCACCCCACTGCATTCAGCCTCCTCCCTTAACCCCTAAAACTCAGAAAGGGCCAATTCAAGGGTGAAGAGAGAGGGCCCTGGGATGTAGCTCAATGGTAGAAAGCTAGTTTAGCATGTGCGTGGCCCTGGATTCCACCCTAAGCACCGAAAACAGGAAAGAAGGATGCAGAATTGGCCACCAGTATCTGGCATACACAACCACACTATACCTACAGTTGTCTAGACAAACTGGAGAGGCATGTCATGCCCAAGGGGAACCTCCAGCTTGCCCCTCCAGCCAAGCACCATTCTAGATGATGCAGACACAACCATGTGTAAACTGGACATAAACCCTTGCCCTCAGGAGATCAGATACTAATGAAAGGGAAGAGAATCTGCATAAGAATTCACTAATTACAGAGTGGTAGGGTACTTCAATGAAAGAGTATAATAATGATGGTAGACAGGGACCAGATCTTCATGGTGCTTGAAGGTGTGGGCAGGAAAGAAAGCACACCTAAGTTAAGAAGTTAGTGCCTCATTGGTCTTGAACTGGTGGGAGAAAGCAGCTTTCTAATCACTGCATACCCCTCGGTGTTTTCCACTATCAAAAGATTTGACTGGGTGGCTGGCCTCCAAGATTTCCCCTTGTGCCCCAGAGCCAAGGCTTCAGTACTAACAGTCCAAACTCCAATTCAGCTTTATCTGTGTGCATACAAAGTACTTCTGTCTGAGGGGTCTCCCCGTGGTTCAAAAGGAAGATAGCCACACACACTTAAATATTTGACAAAGGTATGGATGTCAAGTTTGCTTGTATAGTGGAACCCAGTCGTGTCTCACTCACTCACACACACACACACACACACACACACACACACACACACACACACTTCTCTGGGAGTGCTACAAGGGTTATGTCATGTGTCACCCATCTCCCAGTGATGGAACAAGTGGTAAAGGGCTAAACATTAGGCATGATACTCAGCAAACACTCCACCTTGGAAACAGAAAGGTCTTTAGAATGGTGGAACCTTCCTTCATAGCCAGTCTTGGCACTGTGTGTCAAAATGTAGGAAAGGGCACATTTGCTAAGCACACAGTTCACCCTGCATGAGCCCAAGCAAGCAAGAATTTACTAAGCCCACATTGGTGGGACCCCATGGCAACTGTGGCATGTCCAGAAATCCCCATGGTAATAGCAGCTCAGAGCTGGGCTGTGTCTGCTTTTAACATTGTTGCTTTAACTGGCTGGTGACAAGAAAGACAGCCAAGGCAAAAGTAAGCCCTAGCTGGCTTACTTTCTTTTTTTCACCTCACCTTCCCCCAACTTCCAAATGGAACTCAGGTCTGCCCTGCCCTTCTAGCATGAAGGCAAATGAGAAAGTTGAAAAGATAAAGTGACTTCTTCAGCAAACTCCCTAGAGCTTGCTAAACTTTTTGGGGCCAAAGGAGGGTTGGGAACCTTTATAGTCAGCCCTGGAAGGGAGGTTTGGGGGACCTGGATGTGTCCAGTGCCCTTCTTTCTGAATGGATACACTGTGGTATTGGGACTGCTCCTGAATGCTGTCCCAATGCTCTCCAGAGTCAAAGCCACCGTGTCTGTATGCATTTGTTTAAGGCCAGGTATCAACCCCAGGGCTACCTCAACAGAACAGGAAGCTGGTTTGCCAGATGGTACCAGGGCCCAAGATGGGCTAAAACCCACTTCACCTGGCCAAGAAGTCTGAGGCTAATGTCATCTCTAGGCCTAGACCTCACGTTGCCCATGTGTCATGATGTGACAGCAAGTTTGGCATTGTCTAGGTTGACTACCACTCTGTTCTGCCTTCATGAACACCAGTAAGAGGGGAGGAGGGGATGCTGTGACAGATGGAGGAGAACACTTAACTCACAGAGCACCTCATTCATGGATGCCCTACTTCTGAGTTCCAACTTGTGGAGACTGGGTCAGGGGTGCCTTACGCTCTCTGTCCTTCCAGGTGGGGACCTTATTTTTAGTACCGATTTGCATGAGGTGAAACCGATATTTTGAGCATATTTTGAGCACACCCAGACACCTGCTGGGGCCAGCCAGCTGTGCAGCAAGGGGCTGCACTCTAAGCCTTTGCATCCAACATCTACAACACCAAGCAGCTGCATGGAGGGGAAGAACCAGAATCCCATTCCCCTAAAGCATCCCATGAGCTCAGAGCATCTCGGTGCTTCTTATCTCAAGGGAATGTCTGGTGGGGAGGTCCTTACCAGGCAGGCTTCCAGGAGGCCTGGCCCTGTACAATAGCATTCCAGGAGGCAGAGGACCCTACAAAGGCATGCACTGTAGGGCCTGCAGAATGCGGCAGAGCCCCAGGACCCCAGTCTCCTCATCTTTGCACACTGTCCCCAAACCCAAAATACAGAACCAGAGCTGGGGGGGGGTTGGTTTCTAAATCTGGAGGGCAGAGGATTCTGGGGCTCTGAAGAGCCAAGCTACTCCAGTTGCTGCCAGACTAGATGGGGCTGCAGCCCTGAAATCCCACGGAGGCCAGGCGCCCGGGCCCACCTGTCAGCCCGGGTGGGGTCCATTGGGGAGGGCTAGAAAGAGAGCCTGAGGATGATGGCTCCTTTTATTTGGGAATTGGGAGATTTGGGTTCCAGGTTGGGAGAGGGTAATGCAACCTTGGGACACGCGCTGCAGAAAGAAGAGTGCGTGGGCTTGCCCGGGCTGCACGAGGGGGTGGGGGAGTAGGGATCCGAGCCCAGGAGAAGGCCGCGGGCCCCCAGGGCCTGCCAAGGCATGCACCGTGGTCGCGTTTGCACGCAGCGGGAGTCGTCGCCGACTGCAGAGAGAGCCTCACTCACCTCCTGAAGTCAAAGGGCATCGTGCCGCCGAGCTGGTGGGAGCGTTGCAGGCCAGGCGGGCTGCAGCGCCGCGTGGGTCCGAGCCCGCTGCCAACGCCTCCTTGGCCGCCCCGCCCCCGCCAGCCGGCCCGACACTCGCCACTCGCCTCCAGCCGCCGGGAAGTGACGCTCCGCGCAGCCCATTGGGCGCCGCCGCCTCCCCCGGCCGCCCCTTCCGCCGCCCGGTTAAAGGGGCCCAAGGGCCGGCGGGATGAGGCGGGCCGGGAGTGGGATGCTACCCAAACTCACTTCCCCAGGACTCACGCTTTGGTTCCTTTTGGCCTCAGATGTTCTTTTCTAGTCCGTGTGGGGCCTCAGGCAAATCCCTCTGCCTCTAGCAGTGCGTCTTGTGTTTGTAAAACAAAGCCATTGCGTTTTGAAGATCAGAGAGAACGCTGCAAGTTAGGGTCCTTGCTTGGTGCTAGCTCTTGCTTGTCAAGGGCTAAAACTGGGGGTGGGCAACTCAGTCCTGGACTGGGAAAGGCCACTGGGTATTTTTTGCCACTCAGGAACAGCCATCTGACTCCTGGGATCTGCCACCACTCCTTTCTCCATCTGCATATACCCTGGCTTTTTCTAGGTATCAGAGGAGACCTTTGGGCCCCTAGTTTAGTGAATAGCCTGGCATCTAGTGAGAGCTTCTCCACCTGTTAGAGTTGGGCTTAGCTATTTGCTTTTAGCATCTGCCATTTGGGATTGGTGCCAACCAGTGCTCTTTGAGCATCTACCCACCCGAAAGTCAGGTCCGTGCAGGATTATCCAGAGGTTCTGGGTTTGCACTGTTAGAAATGGCAAAGCGATTCCTCTTAAGCCTCAGTTCTCGGAAACACAGAAGTGCAGAGAACAGCTCCCTCAGCTTGCAGGGTGGGAGGAGGAGAAGGCAGAGGAGGAGATGAAGGATGAGGGAGTTGAACCTCAGGCCTGTTATGATTGCTGACCTTAGTTGTCAACTTGACATACCTGGGAAGAGGAAACCTCAGTTAAACAATTGCCTCCATCACATGGGCCTGAGAGCCTGTCTGTGATGTTTTCTTGTTCCTAATTGAGGCCCAGCCCTCCAGGGGTAGCCTCATCCCCAGGCAGGTTAGCCTAGGATCAGAAAGCTGGCTGAATGTGTGAACAGGGGAGCCAGGCTAGTCTTCCTCCACAGATCCTTGCTTCAGTTTCTGCTTCGTGGTTCTGCCTTAAGTAACTGCCCGGACTTCCCTCAGTGAAAGACTGTGATAGGGACATGTGTGCCAAATAAACCCTTTGCTCCCAAGTTGGTTTGGTCAGGGTTTGTCAAGGCAAAGAAAAAGCATACTGGAACACTGGTAAAGGGGAAATCTGACCTCTGAAAGTCCCCGGGTTCTGTTGCTGATGCCTTATTTAAAGTTGTGACCTAAAACAACAGTAACTCAGGGAGGAAAGTGGGGACTCAAGTTACAAAAGCAGGACGTGTAAAAACAGATGGAAAGAGCTGCTTGACTTCCTGAAGGAGTAAATGGGCAGCAAAATCCAAGGTTAGAAGTGCATGAACCGTGCTTCCACCAGTTCCTTCTGACAACCGGTATTCCACTCCAGTCATTCATTCACTCAACAAGTGCCCCATGCTCTTACAGGAAGTGAGACAATCTCAGCCCAGCCCAGAACCTGGGAGTGGCATGAAGCAAGGGGCCTTCAGTATCCCCTAGGTGCATTATGGGCATTTGATCTCATTTTCCCTTTTCAGAATGTGGTCCAGAGACTAGCTACTTGGGCATTTCAGGGATCCTCCTCCTCCTTAGCCCAGGCCTCCTAAAGCATCTCAGATATACACTTTAGCAAGACCAAGGACAACAAATGCCCACCAGAGTAAATGAAGGTAGGAGTGACTGGTGTTGGTATTTTTTACCCAGAGAGAAAGCTCCCAACTTTTAGATGGGCACATAGAAACTTGCATCTTACAGCTTCCCTTGCAGCCAAGTGTATCTGTGTGACTCGGTTATGAAAATATAGGGAGATTTTGGCTTTAAGAAGATTGGGTGCAGTGGAGCAGTGGTGGCACACACCTTTAATCCCAGCACTCAGGAGGCAGAGGCAGGGGGATCTCTGAGTTCAAGGCCAGCCTGGTCTACAAATTGAGTTTCAGAACAGCCAGGACTGTTAAATAGAGATACCCTACCTCAAAAAACCGAGAGAGAGAGAGAGAGAGAGAGAGAGAGAGAGAGAGAGAGAGAGAGAGAATAATTGGTGTATACTCTTTGCTCTTTGCCCTCAGTGTCCCTTTATCTTGCTGGCTGCCTAGAATGTTGGACCATGAAATAGAAACCACACAGAACAAAGTGACAAGACAGAAAGAGCCCAGTTCTTGTCACTCAGAAGTCCCATATTTTTCTACAAGACAGAAATAAGCATCCATCTAATTGGATCTACTATTTTGGACTGCTGAACACTTGCATTGGAACTTAATGGTAATGCTGCTGTCCTGACTACATCACTTGACTGTTCAAATACCACACAGAGAGAGGCCAGTCCACTATTATCTAACATCCTGTAATTTTCCTTGGGAGAATTTGGCACAACTCATGATTGGATTATCTAGTATCTGTACCATCAACTTGAGTGAAAGCTTCCTGAAGGAACTTTAATGGTCACCATCCGTCCCGCCTCCCACCCATTGTCTCCTGGAGTATAGAGAGGCACATGTCTAAGGCATCACAGGGTCTTCACATAGGGTAGAGAGGATGGATGTGGAGTGGCCATGTCACCAATAGACTCTGGGGGGACTGTTGAGATTTGGGAGCATAGTGGGTTGCCAATCACATATGTCAGTCCATCCAGGAGACAGTAGAAGATGCAGCAAAGGGAATCAGACATGTTCCACAATACATGGAAATACTCTGGACCTCTTTGAACATGGCAGCAACCAACAACAGTTGAGTTTAGGAACTATGGATATTGTGGTAGCCTGTGGTGGTCAGCCTCCAGTGTTCTTCATCAACAGCCCCAGGCCCTTATACAGTCACCTTCCACAGTGAATAGGTCCAGCTTATGTAACTCAACAGGATATTGCAGAAGGTGTGACTCCTGAGGCTAAGTTCCAAGAGGTATCGTGCCTTGTCAATACTCTCTTGAATCACTTTTCTGAGGGAAGTCCCAGTGCTAGGCCCTAAGGATGCTCCAGCATCCTTCTCTTAGAGTGGTCCACATAGCAGATCTGTGGTCTCCTGCCCCAGCCAGGTGAGGGAGGCCTCTAGGAAGCCTACTCAACCCAGGTCATACCTCAGAGCTGCAGCCTGGCCCACACTTAAGCTCTAGTTGTAGGGGGACCCTGAGCCAGGATTCCCCAACTAAGCTGCTCCTAAATCCTTACCCCTAGAAACTATGATACCAAGTGTTTACGCCACTGTAATCACTTACATTGCAATCAAGAGACACACACAGGTGTTCTCCTTTGTCTCACACCTAGCCAGACCGAGGAGACTACTTTTGGAGTCAGAGAAGTCTCTAAGTGGTTGACCTGGAAGTATTGTTTAAATGGTTATGGACAGACTTGAAACTAAGGGTAATAAATAAGTCCTTCCCTGCAGCAGATAGCCTGAGGCTGCCCCAGTAACCAGATGCTGGGATCCTGGATCATTCTCATCCCTCAGAGCATGGCTGGATTTACTAACTTGTGCCAAATGAACAGAATAACACATATTGATGTTGGTCCTGAAATTATGTTACAAAAAGTAGCAACTTCTTTCTCAGACAGTAACTCAAGATCTCTTGGAGAAGGGAGCTGCCCCAGAAGGTGAGGCTGTCTTCCAGGGATGTCATGTGATGGCTTGTAAAAGAATCAACAACAACCATGTGCATGTGATTGGACAGGGGTTGGTCAGCTCCAGCAGTATCTTGGGACATTGCAGTCCTGCTAGATAGCTTGAATGGGCCTATGAAAAGCCCTGAGCAGAGGCAACCCAGTTGATTCCCTAGTAGATTCCCACAGGGCAGCAATTTTTTTAAAGCCTCTCCCCAACTTGCCCTGATCCATGACACAACAGCATGTAGCGTATGTGCTGCTCTATGAGCCATCTGTGAGGATGAAGTAGCATGGGGAAGTCTGGCACATAGTAGGTGCTCATTAAATGCTTGCTTAATGATCAAGCCATACAAAAGAATGTCCATAAGGGAGAAACTTCCTTGACCACACATGCTAACTCTCTTCTACCCATCCTTGCCAGAAACATCACTGCTCCTTGTTTTCGGCAGGGAATATTTGGGTTGGGTTTGTTTTTTGTAATGAGACACTAGTTCATGTTCCATAGGAGTAGCTGGTTCAGTCTGGACTGGAAGAAGAGAGATTAAAATACAACTCTTTGTCAAACTCAGCAAGGATTTAAAGGAATTAGAGCTCAGAAAATAGGGCTCTGAAAAATGTGACTGTTCTTTCTTACTCCATTTAAGTTCTCTGACCAGCCAAAAGGTGCTTGCTCACTCCTTGTGCGGTTATTCACAGGCGCCTCTCTATGGGATGTGTTCTGCATGTAGAGATGAACACAGCATAGCTCTGATTTTAATTGAGGAGGAGGTTAGCAAAAGTGTGGGGCAATAACAGGGGTCAGAGTACAAGTGTTGGGTACAATTTTGTGGGGCAAATACAGAGTAAGGGACGGTCCAAACCACAAGGAAGAGGTTGTTTGAACGCTTTCAACTGAAGGTGATAAAAAATCATCTCAAATTAATATGAACTGTCCATGTTAGGAGGGAGGAAGACAAGGGGATAGGAGATGTGGGAGGGGAGGAAAAGTAAGGTGAGGAGATAGAAGAAAGAGGAGGGAAGGGGAGGAAAGAGACAGAAGAGGAAGGAAGGGAAGGAGAGGTACTTGTGGGCCTGGGGTGCAGTTAACCTCAACCTGTGTACACACACCAAATCGGAAGGAATAGAGTGGCTTTCTAAGGCAACATCCAGCGGGTATTGTTAGAGAAGATGTAGAGGACATCTGATATCTTGGACAGGAAGTTAGGGAAGGCTTCCAGGAAGAAGAGGAGTGAAGAGGAGGAGTCTGAGCCAAGACAGGAAGAACAAGAAGAAATTAGTCATGGGGAGATCCAATGGCGTGTAACAAATTAACCCAAACTTAGAACTTTAAATTTTCACATGTTTCAGTATCTGAGGACCAGGGGTCTGGGTTCCCCTATATGGACCTCTGTAGAACATTGCTCATGACATGGTGAGAGGCAAGGGAGACCAGAACTGATTCGTTTTGTTTTGAGACAAGGTTTCTCTGTATAACAA